AACAGGAAGGACAATGAAGTATAGCCCTGTATTCCCTACCACTGTCACGCTTTCATTTTAGCAAGGGTCTGCTTCTTGTGGTGATTGTTTTCCCATAAAAATGACATTGCTGTTTCCTCTGTTAAAATGATGGTTTATAGAAATCTTTTAACAGCATTGTAGTGGGTAAAATGTATTATTTTATATTGGTCTGTCTGGAGCACTCAGGTTAAAATGGTAAAAATAAGGGAAGCACATGAAAGTAAGACTGCATGCTAAAGGTCATTTTGTAGTGACTGGTCAGGAGCACTCAGGTCAAAAGGGTAAAAATGTTAAACATCAATAATAAATTCATACCATGAAATGTAGACTGCGAAAGCAAAAGGTCATTTCTCTTCACAGCGGAGACTACGGTAATTGCAATAGACCAACATGCTAAAGAAGTACCTATATTTGCAGAGTGCACAGATATTATACTGATCATAAAAAGAAATTAGTCTTTTTACATTGAAATTGATGGAAGAGTTATATTAAATCTTTCAAATTTCTGAATAAATTTTGTTTTATCAGTAAATTTGCCTCCCAACCAACACACACACACACACACACACACACACTAAATAAACTTCATTTTGACTGTCTGTTATATGCCTTGAGTGAGTTGAAATTGATTCCATCAAATGTGAGAAAACTGGAATTAAAACAAAACAAAACAGTTGCGTAACTACACTCACAATAATCCTTGAAAATGATTGGGAAGTACTTGGGGGAGGTAAAAATAATATTAAACAAAAGTTAATATGAATTTTGTCAAATTTACCAATAAAACAAAAAAAACTTATTCGGAAATTTGTCATTTATATATATATATATATATATATATATATATATATATGGGCAGAAAACTTTCTTTTAAACATGTTTTGTTGAATATGACAGACAAAGAAAATGTTTTTATAGTATTCGTAAATTTTTCCATTTGTGAGGTGTAAGAGAGTGTAAAAAATTGTCTGTAGTGTCTATTGTCCCAAGTGCTATCGGCAACATCTTTAGCCATTTTCAAGGGAATTGTTGTTAATTTCTTTTCACGAGTGTCTATTAAGATTTAATATGTGATGCATATTGTATGATAGTAGCATTTATTCCGAGTCCTATGAAAAGAATGTGGCTAGAATTCAAGTTAGTGTCCTATTTTAAAAAACCTTTAGCACTGTCATATTCAATGAAACATATATCTTATAACTTTAAATGTATTAATGGATACTCATATTTTAGTAGACGCTCCATTTGTTTATTAAATGGTCCATCACTTCTTTATAAATCGTTTTGTTTGTTTGGATACAAAACTAAGAAGATATGAAATTTTGAGAATCTATGATGAGAATTGATTTTGCTTAAAGCCACTATTCTGCTTTGTTTGATTGGCAAATGTCCTTTGTGGCTGAGTTGGTATAATCTTGTTGTATCTAATGATGGTACCTCCTGCCAGAGGGTGCATATTTTTCTCTAATAAGATTTTTCAAATATTCTGATGGGTGAAAATAAATAAATATACCATTTAATAGATAAGCAGTGTCTACTCAAATATGAGCCACACCAGGAAGATGTTCAGGTTCTACTGGACCATGTGAACTCAATAAGACCTTTGATACAGTTCACAATAGAGAAAGAGAGTAACAACATACTTTCATTCCTGAATGTTCTAATATCTTGAACAGAGCCTGGGTTCAAGACATCCGTATACTGTAAACTGACATTCACCGGACAGTACCTCGATTTCAACTCCCACCATCCATACAGCATAAAGAAAGGGGATCATTTGCTGCTTACAACACCGAGTAAAAGTCATGTGGCGACCCAGAGACATTAGATAAAGAATTGGTCAGTATAAGTAGTACCCTCCAATGTAACAACTACCCTAGGTACATAGCAGTAGCCCCAAAAACTGGGATAGACAGATACAAGAGGAGGAGGACAACACTCCGAAAACAGCCTCCCCACCTTATGTGAAGTGGTTATCAGAGAAAATACAAAGGATCTGCAGTTCATATAACATCAGGACAACCTTCAAAAGCTTGACGACACTTCGCAGATATCTTTCCTGAGTAAGACCCCCATAGAGGAGAACATGACTAAAGACTGTGTGTACACTATCTCGTGCATCTGCAGAAAGAAATATAAAGGTGAGACAGGCCACCCCCTTAAAGTAAGGCGTCAAGAACACCAGAAAGCTGTAACACAAGGGGAAGTGGAAAAATCAGGCGTGGATAACCACATATGGAGAGAGAAGGGAGATCACCTGCCCTCTGTGGGATCAGGTTGAGATCATAGACAAAGAACATCATTGGAAAATTGTAAAATTAAGTAATCAGCACATATGCTAGGCCACAAAAATCTCCTGATCCAACCAAACATAGAAATGAATACAATATGGGAACCAGTAATAAGGAGTGCCAGAGAAAAGCAATAATAACAACAAAAATTACAATATGAGCTCTGGTAAAAACATGTAATGATAACAGAGATAAAAAAAATGGCAATATGAGCACTGGTAAAAAATGGTTGCTGAAGACATTAGGTTTATAATACTCAGAAATTCATACACAGTGGATAAAGGCATTAGTTAGATCCAGTGACAGGACCCAAAGAGTGTGAGTTCAATACCTGGTTAAGAGAGTGGAGAACTTTCAGAGGGAACTTAACTGACATCCATTAAACATGGCACGTGGAACTAGAACAGTCTACCCCAGTGAGTGAAATAAAGGGTTAAGTTCGACATTCCAACCACCTGAAGGAGGCCGGAGTGTACAATAGCTGAAATGTTGTAATAAATATGGCAACAAAGATGAGGACAATAGTCTGAAAAATGTAAATAGTGTACATAATACCTCATCTCAGAAATATAGACAGCCACTAAAATAACATTTAAAATGATAAAATCTCTTGGATTAATAAATAAATAAATAAAAATCCATTACTTCTTTAGAAATAAAATCAAAAACTACCTCATTCAGAAAATAGCCATTTCAATCAACAGATATTTTGTGGACCTTATCTAAGGTTCACAAGAAAATGTGGATCAGAATTGCTATTTTCTGAATGAGGTAGCGATTTTGATCCACACATTTTTTTGTTGGCCTTAGACAAGTTCCACAAGAAAATCTGTGGATCGAAATTGCTGTTTTCTGAATGAGGTAGTTTTGGATTTTTAATCTATGTATTTTATATGGTCTGTTATAATAAATACATTGAGTTCTTTTTGTAGATCAGTTTTAATATTTCATATTATTAGAATTCACTTGGATTATATATCTTTGAATTATATATATTGTATGTAAATATAAAAGTGGACATTGAAGACAACACCCACAGGCAACAGTCTGTTTCATGCTAAATGCAATTGTTGGCCTGATGATTGTGTTTAACATGAAACAGTCTGTTGCATCTGGGTGTTGACTTCATTGTCCACTTTTATATTTACATTTGAGCACTTTAAACCATATATATATATATATATATATATATATATATATATATATATATATAAATAAATAAAATAGTTGCATAGTGCAGTGATCATAAACAAATATCAGGTACACCACTTTGGTTCTAGGCAGAAATCCTAACCTTACATATTCCTGTAATTTTTGATGGGTACTATGCTAGTTCATTTTTATTTTAAGGCTATTTTTCAGTGTGCATGTGTCGCTGTCAAATGTGACACAAGATGTGGATTTCATGCCAGTACCGTAGGGGAAATTGCCCAAGCCCCCTCAACACTTCCTATTCTGGGGATGCTTCAGGTGCTGAGCAATAAACCTAGCCCCCTTCTGAATGAGAGATACTGCCTGGTGGGGGGCGGGATTGCTTGTGCTTACTATTTCTGACACTTTTTCAAATATTAATATTTTTTGACCCTGGTATATTCATTTTCATTTTAAGATTACAGTTTTATTCATTCCATGTGCATATTAAATTTTAATCCTTCGTATAAATTCAATTCTTGGTAGATTTGGAAACTGTTGTTCACACTCTGACTGCACCAACCAAGAGATCACGTTTGATTGGCAGTTTTTATTATGATACCAAGTACGAGTTATCTCGTGATGGTCGTTTTCATCTGCAACTGCCAACTACGAGTTTATTTTGCAGTGATATTTTTAGCATGTAAACAATATTAAGACTTCATTTGAAGTTATAAATCAACCTATGAAAGTTTTTAATTTGCTAAGTTGGTTATTATAAAGTGGGTGTTTGATGTCTGATTTCATAATTGACCTCTGGCAGTCAACATGATAAACTGTCATAACATCTGCTTCTTCCTTTGTTCTTGTGCTTAATGACCTTGATATGACATTATCATGATCATTATTACCATCATTACTTTTCATTGTTACTTTGGTTATATTCTCTGAGGAAATAGAGGTGTTAAAATGCAATGGAAATAAGGTCACAGGTGTGTCTGTGTCTCCCTCTTTACCTGAGAGGGACCTTGAGGATCAAGATCACTACAGTTGTAATAGATTACAAAATGAAAAATCAATATCTTTTTAAATTTGTATTTTTTGGTTTAGTCTTTTCACTATAATGTTATTGGAAAGCAGGAAGAATGAGTCCCCCCCCTAATATCAGTGGGGAATAAGGCTTCTCAGGTAAATGACAAAAGTGTTAAAACAAAAACAATGTTGATTTCTTACAATCATTTTTATTTAAGCATTTTCTTTTTTTAAATTTTCACTGTATCCTTCTGACATGAGCATTCTTTTTCTCTATATTGTAACCATTTTACTTAAAATTCATATTTCATATGAAATCTTGGGCATTTTCCAAAATTATATTGTGGGGTAGGGGGCAATAGTTTAAATTGATGTCAGGAGGTTATGCTGCCATGAGTTTGGCAAGATGATCTTTTTATTTGTTAACTTTAAGTTTATATATTGATTTCAAATAACTTTGGTAAAAATGTTTATTAAAGAGAGTATAGGGTAAATTTGTTTTAAGAGTAACTGCAAATTTTCAAG